AAATGGGTAAAATGTAAAGTCCTTTGATGTAAAGGCGACCGGCATTATGCTGATCACATCACCAAGCGAGTGCCGATTGGTCTGTAAAATATAGGTCTAGCCCTATATGCCCAATGCGCCCAAAGGCGTGGAAAATGTTTCTTTACTTTTATTCTGAACACAGGCGGATCTTGCTGATCACTGGCCATCCCCTGGTACTTCCATGTCTGCCTATAGCACAGTCGTGTATGTCTGCCTATAGCACAGTCGTGTATGTCTGCCTATAGTACAGTCGTGTATGTCTGCCTATAGCACAGTCGTGTATGTCTGCCTATAGCACAGTCGTGTATGTCTGCCTATAGTACAGTCGTGTATGTCTGCCTATAGCACAGTCGTGTATGTCTGCCTATAGCACAGTCGTGTATGTCTGGCTATAGCACAGTCGTGTATGTCTGCCTATAGTACAGTCGTGTATGTCTGCCTATAGCACAGTCGTGTATGTCTGCCTATAGCACAGTCGTGTATGTCTGCCTATAGCACAGTCGTGTATGTCTGCCTATAGCACAGTCGTGTATGTCTGCCTATAGCACAGTCGTGTATGTATGCCTATAGTACAGTCGTGTATGTCTGCCTATAGCACAGTCGTGTATGTCTGCCTATAGCACAGTCGTGTATGTCTGGCTATAGCACATTCATGTATGTCTGCCTATAGCACAGTCGTGTATGTATGCCTATAGCCCAGTCGTGTATGTCTGGCTATAGCCCAGTCGTGTATATCTGGCTATAGCACAGCCGTGTATGTCTGCCTATAGCACAGTCGTGTATGTCTGGCTATAGCACAGTCGTGTATGTCTGCCTATAGCACAGTCGTGTATGTATGCCTATAGTACAGTCGTGTATGTCTGCCTATAGCACAGTCGTGTATGTCTGGCTATAGACAGACGTGTATGTCTGCCTATAGCACAGTCGTGTATGTCTGCCTATAGCACAGTCGTGTATGTCTGCCTATAGTACAGTCGTGTATGTCTGCCTATAGCACAGTCGTGTATGTCTGCCTATAGCACAGTCGTGTATGTCTGCCTAAAGTACAGTCGTGTATGTCTGCCTATAGCACAGTCGTGTATGTCTGCCTATAGTACAGTCGTGTATGTCTGCCTATAGCACAGTCGTGTATGTCTGGCTATAGTACAGTCGTGTATGTCTGCCTATAGCACAGTCGTGTATGTCTGCCTATAGCACAGTCGTGTATGTCTGCCTATAGCACAGTCGTGTATGTCTGCCTATAGCACAGTCGTGTATGTCTGCCTAAAGTACAGTCGTGTATGTCTGCCTATAGCACAGTCGTGTATGTCTGCCTATAGTACAGTCGTGTATGTCTGCCTATAGCACAGTCGTGTATGTCTGGCTATAGTACAGTCGTGTATGTCTGCCTATAGCACAGTCGTGTATGTCTGCCTATAGCACAGTCGTGTATGTCTGCCTATAGCACAGTCGTGTATGTCTGCCTATAGTACAGTTGTGTATGTCTGCCTATAGCACAGTCGTCTATACGGAAGGAAAGGTGTCAGAAGTTTGAGTCAAACTGCCAAAGACACTATCCACAAGGGAACTCCTGTTGGCTAGAGACGCAGGGAAGTTATCCTGCCTATTATGACTTTGAGTGCTTGATTTGGCAAATTGTCTAATTTTTGCAGTGTGGTTTTTTTAAATGTTGAACTCCACGCAGTGGACCCGTGATCTCCCCGTGTGGGTTCCGCGGCCCTTTTGTGGGGTAAAAAAGAACAGACCCACTGCCTACCCAAAAGCATGTCGTAAGAGTCGACTCATTAGGAGCTTCCTTCGAAGTCGGATTGCATCTGCCTGTGAGGCAAGGAACGAGCAGTCTGCATACGAATGAGTCAGATCTGTATAACGGATGCACACGCAACACTCAGGTTCTGGAATACGACTGCAGTTCAGAAGTGGATGAACAACTAGAACTTTTAGCTAGAGTTTGCAGCTGTTGAACGCAAATAATAATAAGAAGACTGTTGATAAAGTTGTCTATGTATTGTTCTACAAGCTCCCTATGTAGTTCCACTCAGTTTTCCCAGGACAGCTATTTTGCTTCTGGTTTTTTGTTGTTGTTGTTGCTGCCTTGTTGATGTCCCTGATTAACTGTCATACGTCGTCACCAATAATCAGTGTGAAATAAGTAATGTTTACACTATGATACTATCATGACATGTTGCGTTGTTGTGCTGAACAAAATTTTGCAAGTGCCACCGGCTGATGCAGTCAACATTTCCGGTCGTGGAGTCACTATCATCAACATCTTTCCATGCATCGGTGGGTGAACTCTTTCTTGCTTCGTTTTAGTTTTAGTAGTCGGACATTAAAATCAATTATCTTATTTCAAAGAAAGGCATGGTTTTACATACAGGGTTGTCAGATTTGACAGATAATATTAACAATATCAGAAATGTTGAAGAGTAGACGACAAAAGTGAGTTGTTCTTTGTGGTTGAAAGTTTAAACAAGACCGTCAAGTCAAATATTGTACACTGACAATGGCAAAAAAAGACATAATTAATCCCTTTTTCCCCGATTCTGGTCGAACTTAACAGGCATTAGTCGAAAATATTTATTCGACTAATTAGTCAGTTAACGACAGAAGGACCTAGCACGAGGAATACATTCACCAATACTGGGGTATCGATGGGAAATGCTCTCCATCTGATCTGTCTCTCTCTCTCTCTCCCTCTCTTCTCTCTCTCTCAGACACAAACACACACACACACACAGAGGGCTTTTTAAAAGACGTAATATACCAGTACTGACCATAAAGTGTCTTACAGTAGTGCTGAAGAATTTGGAAGAAATGATGAAATGGGTACTGTCAGACAAACATCAGTTATACCTACTTTTGACTTATGGCCAGCCTCTTCTTGTGCCCCCAGTGTCTGGATAGTCCCTCAGCCACCTTGCACCAAATGCATCCATCATTTATCGCAGCTCCTTCCATGCCTTCCCCATTTATTAATATCTATTAAGTTTGATTATCATCATTGTGTATTTTTAGGTATCCTTGTGTCTTCTATGCACTGTAAATTCCTGAGCAAGATCATTCTAGTTAGCCTATATTTGCTTATTATATGTCCACTCTGGTACCAGAGCCTTTTCCTCACCTGTTTTTTCATTCCTGATTGTGGCAACTGAAGTACATTTTCATTGTTATCATAATTTAACTTAGGGGTCTTTTCCGAATAACAGTCCCAAAATTATCGAGGCAGAAAATAGAACCTAACAAGGCCTCAGTCACGTGTAAATTGCGGACTTCTGGTGACTTAAATTGTGCACATCCGGCGACCACTGCCACCGCCGAAAGTATCTCCAACGCCGCTATGTGCGGCATGGATTAGGGCTAAACTAGACGGCTGGGACTCACAAGCAGCAGCTACCGCATCTCCTGCAGCTTCCTTCATTATATTTGCTTGTGAGTCCCAGCCATCTAGTTTAGCTCCACTCCACACCGCGTGTAGCGGCATGGAAGATACTCTCGGTGGTGGTGGAGGTCTGCTCTCGGTGATGGTGGTGGTCTGCTCTCGGTGGTGGTGGAGGTCTGCTCTCGGTGGTGGTGGAGGTCTGCTCTCGGTGGTGGTGGTGGTCTGCTCTCGGTGGTGGTGGTGGTCTGCTCTCGGTGGTGATGGTGGTCTGCTCTCGGCGGTGGTGGAGGTCTGCTCTCGGCGGTGGTGGAGGTCTGCTCTCGGCGGTGGTGGAGGTCTGCTCTCGGTGGTGGTGGTGGTCTGCTCTCGGTGGTGGTGGTGGTCTGCTCTCGGTGGTGGTGGTGGTCTGCTCTCGGTGGTGGTGGAGGTCTGCTTTCGGTGGTGGTGGAGGCCTGCTCTCGGTGGTGGTGGAGGTCTGCTCTCGGTGGTGGTGGAGGTCTGCTCTCGGTGGTGGTGGAGGTCTGCTCTCGGTGGTGGTGGAGGTCTGCTCTCGGAGGTGGTGGAGGTCTGCTCTCGGTGGTGGTGGAGGTCTGCTCTCGGTGGTGGTGGAGGTCTACTCTCGGTGGTGGTGGAGGTCTGCTCTCGGTGGTGGTGGAGGTCTGCTCTCGGTGGTGGTGGAGGTCTGCTCTCGGTGGTGGTGGAGGTCTGCTCTCGGTGGTGGTGGAGGTCTCCTCTCGGCGGTGGTGGAGGTCTGCTCTCGGCGGTGGTGGAGGTCTGCTCTCGGTGGTGGTGGAGGTCTGCTCTCGGTGGTGGTGGAGGTCTGCTCTCGGTGGTGGTGGAGGTCTGCTCTCGGTGGTTGTGGAGGTCTGCTCTCGGGGGTGGTGGAGGTCTGCTCTCGGTGGTGGTGGAGGTCTGCTCTCGGTGGTGGTGGAGGTCTGCTCTCGGGGGTGGTGGAGGTCTGCTCTCGGTGGTGGTGGAGGTCTGCTCTCGGTGGTGGTGGAGGTCTGCTCTCGGTGGTGGTGGAAGTCTGCTCTCGGTGGTGGTGGAGGTCTGCTCTCGGTGGTGGTGGAGGTCTGCTCTCGGGGGTGGTGGAGGTCTGCAATTAATATGTGACTGAGGACCTGTTAGAATATATTTTCGGGCTTGATAATTTGGGACCGTTATTTGGAAGATAGCCAACTAGTGTTAAGTTAGTTGCGTATCCTTTACTGGACGTTGCAGAATCAATCTCATAATTTTTTGGCTGTTGTGGTTTTCTAGGCAAATTTATGTCCAATATCTTGCCATTGCTTTGTGGACAATCAGCTTCTCTATACCACTGTCAAAACCAACGCAAGGCCTGCAGCTGGGATCGAACCTGGCACCCTGACATTAAGAAGCGCGTTCGCAACCCCTAAGCCACAGACGCCGACTTATCTAACTATGGTACCAAAACTAATTCTGATCCTTTACAGATGAAAGAAAAAGTCATATCTTTAACAGTTCACTGTTTGATTTCAAGCTAAATATTGAAGTTGACAGTGCACAATAGGCTGTATTTGTGTGGATCATTAATTTTAAACCTATGTTTCCTTGTGTATTTCAGCTTTGATTGGATATGGTCTTTATTGTGATGAGCTCTGATGGTGAAGACTGCAGTGCCTTTCTCAGGGCAGAACTAGAGCAAGTTAAGAAGGAAGTTCCTAGAATTGAAAATGTCAAACTGATTGCAGCTGTTCCCTTACTTGTAAGGGCAGAAATCAAGTGAGAACTTTTTTCTGATGTGTAAATTGAGACAATATGGCTTTCTACATCATGTCTAATTCCTCTTAGAGATGGAGATTGTCTCCCATTTCTACATCATGTCTAATTCCTTTTAGAGATGGACATTGTCTCCCATTTCTACATCATATCTAATTCCTCTCAGAGATGGAGATTGTCTCCCATTTCTACATCATATTTAATTCCTTTTAGAGATGGAGATTGTCTCCCATTTCTACATCATATCTAATTCCTCTCAGAGATGGAGATTGTCTCCCATTTCTACATCATATTTAATTCCTCTCAGAGATGGAGATTGTCTCCCATTTCTACATCATATCTAATTCCTTTTAGAGATGGAGATTGTCTCCCATTTCCACATCATATCTAATTCCTCTCAGAGATAGAGATTGTCTCCCATTTCTTCATCATATCTAATTCCTCTTAAAGATGGAGATTGTCTCCCATTTCTACATCATATCTAATTCCTCTCAGAGATAGAGATTGTCTCCCATTTCTACATCATATCTGATTCCTCTAAAAGATGGAGATTGTCTCCCATTTCTACATCATGTCTGATTCCTCTAAAAGATGGAGATTGTCTCCCATTTCTACATCATATCTAAATCTAATTCCTCTCATATCTAATTCCTCTCCCATTTCTACATCTTGACGCATGCTGGACATATGATGTTAGATGCCTACTTGTGTAGACCAATCAGTCCTTCATGGGTGGTGTAGTATCATGCCATTCCCTTTGCTTCCCATGACATTTTGCTGGTTACTATCGTCAACCTGAGAACTGAGGCCAATCTTGAAAAAAATGTGTCTCAGTGATAATTTTAAAATTGCAGCCTATAACCACCAAGCTAGTAGGCTTGTGCGCTAGCCACTATGCCTTTAGGAGTATTGTGATTATAGGGCTAGACCAGTCAGCACTGTGGGTCTATGGTCAGCATCACACTAGCCACCTTTACTTCCCAGGACTGCAGCTGGTATCCACTCAAGACCCCCATTCCTCAAGGTAAAAAAAATGTTAATTATAAAGAGAAGGACAATAGATTCCGCAACAAGGGAAACAGAAAGTATGGAGATACGTTTTGGTCAGAATGTGTTCCTAATCTTTAATTAAATGCCTGTGTTATCCCATTAATTAGATTTTAAACTGTAGATGTACAAAATGTAAACGTATTTTTAAACTTTTTTTTATTTTGGTAACATTTCTGCACTCAGTTATAGGGAGTGTGGTCTTTTTTTGCCTCTTCTTCAAACTTCATTAAGTCTATAGGGTCAGGCCTGTTTATAGTCTCCTTGAAAAGTTCTGCCCATCTTTTTTGTTTTCTGCTCTGCATCAGATGTGAGCATATTGCCATCTTTGCCTTTGATTGGACCATCTCATAATTTGAATGATCCAGTTAGTTATTTCAACGCAACGGACCATTTCACCGTTTTGGGTAGCAATTTTGACTCTCAAGGAGATACAACGAAGGAAATTATGATACACACTGGCAAAGCAACTACAGTCTTCAAAAGCCTTAAGAAAATATAGAGCTCCAAGTTATACCCCTTTAAGACCAAACTACACATTTTCAATTTTAATGTTATTTCTATTCTAACATGTGCCAGTGAAAGTTGAACTTCTAAAGATATGGAACAAAAGTTAAATGCCTGTGAAAATAAATGTCTGAGAAAAATCATGAACATAAAATTAGAGGAATTTCAAAAATGTGAGATCAGAGATATCTATTTCGACTGCAATAAGGACAAAGAAGGTGGAGATATTTTGATCACACTCTGAGATGAAATCAGTAAAGAATTAAAAACAAACAAGCACTAAAATGGGAAACAAATGGTTCCAAGGAAAACATTAAGAAGAACATTATTACCAGAAACTAAAAATGCGGGGCTGAACATCATGTCAGAAATCTATAGAGCTGCTTGCAATAGAGAGTGGAGTGGAGGAATCACCTGCTAGCCCTATGTGATATCTCTTGGATGATGATGATGATTATGAAAACAGAAAATGTCCTTGGCTTTTTGTTTTAAAAATAGTTTTAAAAAAAAAGATAATGGATTATAAAAAATACAAATGCACTCAATTTTGAAATTGCTTGACCCCCTCCCTCCTCCGAAATCTCATAGTGCCCTCCAGGTTTCAGACCACAGATTGATACAGTAAAGATAGATAGTACATTTGAATCTAGAGTTGTTGTTGATCCAGCGGCACATGAGCTTTTGCCCTTTGACCCAATGCCATGTAGTGGAATTTACATGTTTCCACAAGCTGTTCTTTTTCTCCGTACAAGGTGTTCCACCTGTCTGGTCTCGGAGGGAGTAGCACTTTCTAGTCTCATTGAGTTTTGGGCACTCAAAGAGATGATGGTCAACAGTTTCGTAGGGGTATTTACATAGCTGGCACTCTGGGGAGTGTTGTGGCTGTATTCTGTTTAGGTATCCTTTGAGTGGAGTATGTTGTGTTCTGAGTCTGAAGATGGTGGTCTGGTCCATTCTTGTTAGATGGTTAATGCTGTCATTAGGATCAGGGCTAGTCATATGTCTATAAACCTCTCTTTTGGTATCTCCCATGGCCCATCTGTTCAGCCAAGTCTCTTTGTTTATAGCTTTTATAAGTGTTTTTGCTGTCTGTAGGTAGTTGTTCTTGTGTTGCTCCTTTCTTTGCCAGTCTGTCAGCTCTGTCATTACCTGGTGTGCCGGAGTGGCCTGGAATCCACTACATCACTATTCTGATGTTGTATGAGGTAATGAGCTAAAGGATCTAGAGTTAAAACTGTCCTTTCACTTTCTCGTCTTTTTCGTAACCACACATGTACACATATGATAATGCATACATGCTTGCTGTTTGAAAGAAATTATTTCATTGCAGTGTGAATAACTGTTGAAGAATCAAATATTCTGTTGCAGAAAAACAGAACACAAGCAGGTTGCCGTAACGTGCATGTTTCAGCCAGCCTACCCAGCAGAACCACTGGTAACAGAACTGAGGTCCAAAACACTAGCAGACAGGTTTTTAGATGGTTTAGCTAAAGTTTGTGACACTGAAGCTAGAAAACTGAAAGGAAAGCCCCAGGTATATCTTCCCCTGCCTTTCTTCATATGCTGTGAGCTAATTTTTGTCTCTTTTATCTGTTTTCTGTGGTGAAAATGTTGGACAGCGAGGAATCCTGAAAACATTTGGGAAATCAACTAGTAGTTAGTTAATTAGTTGGGATATGATCATTGCACTCTATACATATCCATAGGTGCTCACATCCTTCCGTCATTTTGAACTCCAGCATCCTATGACTTATAGTGCCAGTTCTTTGTTGATTGATAAGTCTATGCCCGGTGTGTCTCTCGCTTTAATTCTGCTGAGCGATGTAGAGTGGCTGTCTCAAAAGTCCTCCACCCTTCCCACTTCTCTGAGGGCATTAATAATGTCAGCATGATCTATTCCCCTTGTGGGTTCCTATTATAGAATAGAATAGAATAGAATAGAATAGAATAGACCCACAGCCTACCCAGAAGCATGCTGTAAGAGTTGACTAATTGGGATCTTCCTTTGAAGTCCTAGTGCATCTGCCTGAGAGGCAAGGACCAACAGTCTGCACATAAATGTGTCAGATCTGTCAAATGGATGCAAACGCAACACTCAGGTTCTGGAACAGGACTGCAGTCCAGAAGTGGATGAACAACCAGAACTTTCCATCAGAGTTTACAGCTGGTAAACGCAAAGAAGAAGACGAAGAAGAAAAATGTTTCCTGTCTTTTTCTAGTTGCAAAGCTTATGTTAATGTCATATTGTGTTTCTATAGTGTCTCTCACTCCTTCGCCCCATCTATTTCTTGGTCGGCCTCTTGCCTTATAGCCTGCTGTTCTCATATATCAGCACGCTCTAGCTGCTGGCTGATTGTGTTCCATTCTGACCTGTTGACTAAACCATTGATTCATTGATGTTCTATGGAATCATTCACCGGAACTGTGCCTACTATAGTTCTTCACTGGTGACTGTCTCTTCTTGTTTTCCTGCCTCATCTCACATGTTGTAGTTTTGTATACATCTCATCTCACATGTTGTAGTTTTGTATACATCTCATCTCACATGTTGTAGTTTTGTATACATCTCATCTCACATGTTGTAGTTTTGTATACATCTTATCTCACATGTTGTAGTTTTGTATACATCTTATCTCACATGTTGTAGTTTTGTATACATCTCATCTCACATGTTGTAGTTTTGAGTTTATATTTCTCTAGGACTGTCCTTGTCTGGTAAAGATAGCACAAAAGTTACTTCCAACAGTGCATTGATCAGCTGCGTGTGTGTTTGTGTGTCTGTGCACGTTGATATTTTGATGCCTCAAAAATGACCCAGTGTGGTAATTATTGAGTGCTAACTTGGGTTCACAGCATCCAGCACACAGCTTAGTGTCTAAGGGTACAGTTCACGCTCCCGCACACAACTGTCAGGAAAACTCAACGACATAATGTCTGCCATATAAGCACATTTTATTGTCACGATCACAGAGGGTATTCACAAGCTCTCACACACACAACAATGCAAGCGAAGTAATTCAAACATCTGTCCTGGCTAACATGCAATAAATAGCCTTCCCTTGTACTAACCGCCACTACACATGAGCTGACCCCTACAGTTCTAGGTCTACAGCGTCCCAAACCTCCGGGCACGCTGTATAGATGAACAGGGTATATCTCCTAATCAACTGGACCTCTGCTGCTCTATGTGGAGCAGACACTGTCACATCGACTGGCATGAAACATCACAATACTCAATCTCCAGCATGTGCACACAGCACATCAGCCTTGTCGAAGGAATGCCGATGACCGGCAGGACTTCTGGCTCTGAGTCCCCTAGAGCGCACAGTTATTTCCGGCATCTCAGCTGTCTTGTTTCTCTAGCGCTTACATGCGTTGTCACCCAAAACAGCGTCTCTGGAGTAGTCCAACCCTCTTGGCCTGACTCTGTCCACTGAATTCTTCCTTCAATGCACTTTTGACCAATCTCTCGTGAGGGCTTTCCCTTGAACATTGTCGACAACGGTTCGAGCTCTCAGCTGTCCACTGCTCAACAGTCCACTCAACCCCAGTATATACCCTTGCCTGCCCCTTGTGAGCTGCCCGTGCACACGAGACGCATGCTGTCATGCACCCCATACTTCTCCCGAGCGACAGCTGCTATCCCGCATGACTCATGATAGTTAGCCCACACTGGCTAATACTTCATGAATCCACTGGTCTATCCCAGGTCAAGTCAACACCCACTTGCCACAATATTCACTCAAGCCGACAGATATCTCCTGGCTTAACTCTTTCAGACCCATGCATTTTGACAGACTTTAATTTCCCTTTACAAAAATGGCAGAGGGGGTGGTGTACAAGGAAGGCAATAGAGAATCTAATATACTTCTAATCACTATAAAAGTATATATTTTTTTAAAAGAAACGAATGTACATTTTGAATCTGATGATAAGTGTTAGTTTAATTTTGTTATATTTACAAGGAAAGAAGAATTCAGCAGGTGTTAATTTCACAACAACAACATTTTACAAACAAGTTCTTCACTTACCATGGTTTTGCAGCCACAAGAGTAATTAATATCCAAATTTGAGAACAAAACTTCAAAGTTTGTTCAATTTCCAAACAAATTTTAAAGTTATGATACATTGCTGAGTTAGTTTAGCACTCAAGGGCTCTTAGTTCTCACAGAGTGCTTAGCAAAATTTCAGAGAAAAAATGGCAGAAAAATGGTCCATAACACACACTATTTACTATTTACTTTGTACAGTTATATATAGAATGTACCTGCAATGATTTCAATGTAGCTTAGCCATAGTATAGAACTGTCTCTTTGTTTGGAGCACTTTCTTTTTCTTACGCCATAAATACGGTAGCAATGGAACATTGTCTGTGTAAGCTCATCAGAATCGCTAGATTCATAACAGCTGATCGCTCAGCTTCGCTGGTGAAAATTCACTGTCTGAATCACTTTTCCAAAAATCTAAATTTTCATCATTATCCAAATTAAAATCATCTGAGTGAAACACTTTCAGAGCTTCGGCCACAGAAAGACTCATTCTGCCACCTGTACTTGTGGTTGAAACATTGGTATTCGTGGCACTCGAAAATGAACTTAGGAAAATGCACTGTTGAAAAAAAATTTCGCTGCGAATCCATTCAAATTATACACGTGTGGCTTACATAATGAATAAAACTAAAAGAATTTCGGCAGAGTGACTTTTCCCTGAATAGTTTATTCATACTTCCGAACATTCGAAACAAGTACACAGCCGTGTGCGAAGCAAAATGTACGAGACACATGATCGACGATGGTAGCGTTGTTTGGGCAAAACGGAACTTCTCAAACAATGCTCACACCGTTGCTTGGGCCTCAAAGAGAAGTCAGCACTGTGCCAAATATTGACTCAGGTTACTGGACATTCCAATGGACTCCCAAAAACACTATTTTTACCACATTGTTCCCCTACAATGTTATACAACTCACACAAATAAGCACACAGCAGTAATTTATATTGTCGGCCTTGTTTATTCTGTTTTCTTTTTGTCTATCCAATCCTCCATCTTCAATGAATACATTGCCTAGATACTTGAACTCATTGTTTCAATGTCTCTCCTTTAACAGTCATCTGTTGAACTGATGTTGTTCTATTTAGTATAATTGTTTATGTTGTTTTTTCAGTATTTATTTTCATTTTATATTTCTTGCAACAGGTTTTAAAGCTGTTTTAGTTACCAGGCTGTTGAAAAACTAAGATGTGACTGCATAATGGTAGAGTTTGTGAAACACAGTTTAGACACATGGTTTATGGTGCAGTAAAAGTGTAGATAGTTTAAATCTGTTGTATATTTTGACTCATAATTAGCATGTATATTGATAGCTTTTTCAAATAGTAAAGAAGTAAAATTAAAAAAAAAAATTATATCTAGGATTATTTGTTTAAGCATTATTTCTAAATTGTATTCAATCATTTTGACAATTTCAGGTTCTGCATGTGATTAATTTTGTGAAAACATTTATTGAGGAGAACACGTTGTGTGTTTGTTCAGAAGAGATTTCTACCATAAAACGTTTGCTGACCGGAGACAAGGATGAGATCAAACTGAAGCAGAAGGCCTCAGAGCTGGTGGTCAAAGTCCATCAGGAACAGTACTTTCTACATATTAAGATCTCAGTTCCTGATAATTACCCACTGGTACAAATCACGTAAGTCTGTAACATTGAATGTGAAACACTGATCCTATCCCAAAATTCTCCACATTACCTTTAGTAAAGATCCCTTTTCACACCTTTTTGGGCGCATCGGAAATATGGAAAGAGCACCCATATTTTTACAGACCAGTTGGCACTAGGTGTGTAATGTGGTCAGCATTACGCCAGCCGTAGTAACTTCCCCAGGACAACCCATCCTGGAACTCATTTTAGGCTGGGTCAGCCTGCGATGTCCCATACCATAATACAAATCCACGCAGCCTTAACATATTACATATCCCTAAAGCTAGGACAGACCTACACAAAACAAGCTTTCTGCACTCTACAGTTCAGCTCTGGAGTTATCTAGCACATTAAATCAGAAAGCTAAGAATGAGGTGATTTGTCTTGGATTTATTTATCTTATATTTATTCTTATCTTATAGTAAGAATTATTATTGTGAGCATCACCAAACAGACACCTTTAAAATTGCCCAGGGATTACTTTGACACCCTACTCTATAAAGCTGGACTATACTGTATGTGGCGGAAATGATTCATTGTCGATGGCACTGACTGTTAATGTTGATGACATTGTGCAATAATGTAGGACAAAACATTGAAAACATTATGCCAGAAGAAGTAACAATTTGCTTGGAATGTGACAAATTTGTTGGAATGTGACTTTGAAATGTTGAATGATGATCAAATTGTTTGTAGTGTGACTACCATCAAAGAAGAAGAAGCAATTGATGAGGATGAAGGTTCAGTTCTTATCCAAAAACCTACAACTGGCCTATCCGAAGCAGAAACAGTGTTATCAAGTGCATTGACTGGTTTGAAATGCAAGAGGCGGCAAATGCAACTTAGATCCTACTTCTGCATGAAATACGCAACATCGTTATGAGAGAAAGCTCCAGCTTCAAAGACACAGAAAGAGATGACAGATTATCTTAAAGTAACATAGGTTTATAGAATTACAATATAATTCTGTACATTACTACTCTTATAATTAAAATTGATCGCGTTTGCACCTGCTGGTCTGTTAGTGACTTTTGCTACCGTCGATGATGAACTGCATTTCTAATGTCGGACTAATAATATTTAAAAAAGAAATGATATCCCTGATTGTTGACTGAATTAACCATTGCTATCTTTATCCAGGCCAGAATTAACAGAGCACAATTTCCCAGCATTTTTGTACACTCATTTCAAAGCTCAAGCTGCGGAGATAGCTAGAAGATGTGTCCAGCCTCCTCTGAAAAAGAATCCAAAGTTAGTGACATCATTATATGTGTGTGTGTGTGGTGTGAAGTATGTAGATTAAATAATTCCATTGTTGAAAGCCTGTTTGTATTGATGGGTCACCAATATTAATGCACCGTTGTATGTTTGTATTGATGGGTCACCAATATTAATGCACCGTTGTATGTTTGCTTCAAACATTTATTATATTTTAACTTTTTAAATGAGTAAAATAAAGGATCTTTTGCCAGTATATAAATATGTGTGCAAATATACACATGGCTAAACAAAAATAGCCATGTTGTTTAAACATTAATTAGTTTATGTATATATATATATTTATTTATATATATATTTATTTATTTATATATACATAGATTTTTTTTAAAAACTGAAATGCTATAGGAAGATTCTCAGAATATCTTGGACAAAGAAGAGGCGAAATACTGACATCTTGAAAGATCTGATCATCAAGGAAGATTGGCTAATAAACAGCATCCTATCTCGGAAGCTGAAATATTTTGGTCATATCAAGCGCCACGACGGGTTGGAAAAAAATTATAGCAGAAGGCATGATACCAGGAAGTAGAGGCAGGGGCCGACTGACACGAAGATTGATTAAGTGACTCCTTGAGTATGAAAGTTCATGAGGCGGGAGAACTGGCAAGAGACAGTTTCTTACAGGCAGACTGTCATGAGAGCGATATTCTGCAAAGGACCTGCTACATGATGATGATGTTGATATATATATATATATATATATATTTATAATGTGCTTACTGCATTCCCACTTAAAAAGTGTGGGTTGTCAGTGGAGAGAACATTCTTTTAAATTTACATTTCTTGTTGGTTTTAAGACTCTACAGTTGTAATGGTGCTCCTTTTTTTTTTTTCCAGGAGTCAGGAGTATAATTCTTACATTCCTGAATTTTAAATAAATGTAAAAAACTATCTGCCCATTTTTGTCTGGCTGAGGTGTAATTTTGTCTGTGTACATTTGCTTTTTTAAATGCCAGAAGTAGGTTTTAGTCTTCTTGGTATCTTTTGATAGACAAGACTAACAAAGCTTAATAAGCTGTAAATGAGCCTCAAATCGTGATTACCCTCCCCCAACTGAGTATATACTGAAGGGAAGAAAACTAAAACTTTTGGAAACATTCCAGTTCTCAGAAAACTGTTGTTTTGTTGGGAGAATAGTTTTACATCTTGAAAACATTTAGGAAGAAGTTCTTGACTGCAGTAGTTGGTATATATCATGGCTCTCTCTCCCCCCTCTCTCTCTCTCTCTCTCTCTCTCTCTCTCTCAACCACCCGATAACCTTTTTCTGAATTCTTAATTTAATAGATTGAGCTGCCCCCATTTAACCACACATTATGTTTACATGTGTTTTTAGAAGTTACTACCAGTGCACTGGGTGTGAGGTTGACTGCCTTATCCAGTAGAAAACGTTTTTCTACCAGTTGTGGAAAAAGCTTTCAGAAAGCTAGACATGAGGACTGATTGTCTCTTATCTGTTGGGATATCAAAGGAAGAAGAGGTTGGTTTTGTATGTACACTTTTGTAAGCACGCAAATATTTGAAATCATGTTGCTACACTTTGTGGCAGACGTGAAACATATGAGAGCCAGGTGTAGTGCAATAGCTAGCAAATGGCCAACCTGGTAATTATGTGTTTGAATTCCACTCAAAACATGGATTTAAAAGAAAAATGATGAAGAAGACCCAGATGCATACATAGCTCAATGTAGCCTAAAATAGGTATCTGAAAACATTCAGGGACTGAAGAGGGATGATGGTATATTGACCACATCACCCGTTAAATGTTAGATGGTCAATGAAGATGTGAAGCCAGCATCATGCACCCAGTTTGCCTGAAGATATGGAAAAGGGTCCTGTATTTGTGTTCCTGTTGGATGTATAGGTATATACATGTTTTAATTGTAAGTCTGTGTCTTTCATTTTCAGTCAGTCTCCTTTTGTACCCAAACCTTCACTACTGCCCACTTGTGAATACCTGATTGAATGTGTGAAGAAATACCCACTTGAAAAGTGTCAGTTGTGCCATGAAAGAGCTTTACCGGTGGATCCATTGGTATGTATTTTTGTCATGTTTGTTTATACTTTCTGCTCGTTCTTTTGTCTTTTTGTGTCTGTGTGTTGTAGATTGTCTTAAATATTAGTCAGACTTCTTCTCATGTCTGTGTGTCTGCATTGTGCACATGCACATGCATGTCTCTGTGCACATGCATGTCTCTGTATGTGCACATGCATGTCTCTGTGTGAGCGCATGCAAGCGTCTGTGCTGCAGGCCTGTCTGCCTGCATTCTTGTGTATGTTTGTTACAGCGTGGGCATGAAAGTAACAGATTTTACAGCTGTGTTTATTAAAAAACATAGTCTTAATTCAATTGGTTTCATTTGAAGTCAGAGTGCATCTGTTTGAAAGGCAAGGAAACAAAACAACTGCATAGGTGTGTAGAAGGGATGCACATGTATGTCTCTGTACACATGTATGTCTCTGTGCACATGTATGTCTCTGTACACATGTATGTCTCTGTGCACATGTATGTCTCTGTACACATGTATGTCTCTGTGCACATGCATGTCTCTGTACACATGTATGTCTCTGTGCACATGTATGTCTCTGTACACATGTATGTCTCTGTGCACATGCATGTCTCTGTACACATGCATGTCTCTGTACACATGCATGTCTCTGTGCACATGTATGTCTCTGTGCACATGCATGTCTCTGTGCACATGTATGTCTCTGTGCACATGTATGTCTCTGTGCACATGTATGTCTCTGTACACATGTATGTCTCTGTACACATGTATGTCTCTGTGCACATGCATGTCTCTGTGCACATGCAAAACTCAGGTCCTGGAATAAAGCCAAAGTCTAGATATCATCACCATCATGTGCCCTGCCAACTGGTGTAGGCACTCATGCGTCTCCACAAATCACGATCTCTGGTTGCCTGGAGCAGCTCTCTTGATGAAATCCCTCCATGCCATCGTTTCAGCCTATCTAGCATCATCTTTATTGGTCTGCCTCTACCCCTTTTTCCACTGATCTTTCCAGTTGTTATAATGTTCTCTAATGTCTCTCTTCTCATGATGTGGCCAAAGAACAGTGTTTCTCTATTATTATTGTTATATATAGAGATCTACTTCCATTAGCTTCTTTCAAGCAATCATTATTAGTTATTCTGGCTGTCCAAGGTATTCATCTCAGAAACCACATCTCTGTTGATTCCAAATCATTGTTCGCTGACATTTTAAGATTCGCTGCCATACAGCAGAACAGGTTCTATGTAACATTTTAGCACCCTCTTTCTGACATTAAATGAGAATGATTTATAAAGTCTAGAAATGGAGGAACAAAAGTGACATTCTGTCAGAGTACACAGCTGGTGAACACAAACAGATATGATATTTTTAGAATTGCTGTGTCCTAGCTGAATTTTTTCACGAGAAAACATACCCACAACAAGATATTGATTGCATGTTATCATCCTCATCGACATGTGTTGAAGCCACTGTAATGCAATGGTTAGCACACTTGCCTGCCAACTTGGTGGTCATTTGTTTGAAACCCCATAGAGGAAATGTGTGATTGACCTGCTTTCCCTGAGAGACCCAGCCTATAATGGGTATTAGGAAGTGTCAAAAGAAGCAAAGATGACTTTCTTGATGTTGACTATATCCACCGTTTGCTGCTTTTGTATACAAATAAGGATTAGCACCATGTGCCCAGTATAGCTCAAAGAATGACAGTGAGGCCTTTGCTGTCTGTTATTATGGACTTGTGACACTAAACATAGAACATTCTAGTGTGGTTTCTACAAGGAGATTGGGGCACAATGAGTTGTTGAACAAGGCAGCGACAGTTTTGCTTGAAACAGATCTATATAATTGAACAAAGTAAGATGGGATAGGTACAGCTTATTCATATTATAGATCATAACAAAAGATGACATCACAAAGTGAAGATAAAGGTAAAGTCAGGAGATGTGAACCAGCGTCACTGCACACGGTTATAAACCATAAGTGCTCTGCCACCAGTACGGACAGCTGATAAGAAACTGTCCGCCTGTGTCGCTGTCCGCACGTAACTCTGTAGCTACAGCGACATTCCTCTATTTACCCCAGTGTGACACTCTAGTACCCATTTTCTAGAGGCTGGGTGAACCCTGGGAACCGCCCGGTTTCGAACACCGACCGTGGCTGCAGCGAGTCACAGCTGGATTTGAAAGTGAGCCTCGTATTGACTGCGCTAACGCAGCTCCCAGCGGTTCATAAAGTATAATGATATAGAAAGAAAAGTGCCTATTATTTGCACACAACTATTGACTTAGGCAGTGTTTAACAAAAAAATATAAGCAGTTGAGAATTGAAGTTTGTGCTTTCATCGTGCAGCGAAAACTAGAACCTTTTCATCTTCTGTTTTCTCAGACTGAAAGTACCCAAAGAGGAAGACAGATTGAGAAAGTCTACTGTGGGCACCTGTTTCATTTTATGTGCTTGAACAAGTTTATGAAAACTCCACCGTTTGCAGGTACGATGCCATTCTTTACAAACTTAGTTAACTTAGTGATTCGATGAATATGCTTAAAAAAATCCAAGCTGGATTTATAAGTCAAGAATGGATTGAAACACTAAGCACTTCATGAATATCTGCCCTAACCTTTATCTTTGTGCCAGGTCATGCAGGTGTTCAAGGGAACGAGCGTGCAGACTATCTTGCTGATACTGCAGTTGCTATGGCTGGCTCTGTACTGGACAGAAGTGATGTTATCAATGCTATGTGCTGCACTTACCGTAGCTAGGAGCACGCCAAAGGACATGACTCCATATCCCTGTCTAGACTGATGGACATGGGAGTGCAGCCTGGAGCTGCAAGAAATGAACATTTCACTAAGGGGACAAGACGTTTCATTAACCAACAAAGAACATGCGTCATCAGTTGTTTTACACTTTTGGAGCTTTTGCGGAGTAGATCAGAGCACCTATGGATCTGTCGGGAGTGCTGTGATGATAATCCTTTCTAATCACTAATCACTAATCATCTTATTAACTGAGGTGTTTTAGTGTCTTTAAGTGAACACAGTGTGCTGAATCATCATCATGATCATGTGCCCTGCTGATTAACATAGGCAGCCATGATTTGCCATCCAACACAATCACCAGAATCACACGTCAATTAAGCACCCTTATCCCTCCCCACCCATGTGGCTACACATCCGGGTATTCATTTATGTCCCTTCTTTTTCCTCTCGTTAATCTTGCCATAAGTCACCAAGTTCTCCAGTCTGTTCCTCTCATTTCCACCCAAAAAGTATTAACTACCTATGTGTAATTTCTCGAATCACTTTATGCTTGTCTCCATCTTGAAAGTGACTGCCATATTTGTGTTTCTTTCTTTTCACTATATTTTGTGCATTCTTCTAAAAAAAACAACATTTCCGCTGTCACTAGGTGTTTTTCAGGTAGCTTCATTGACCATGTCACATATGCATGTACTGAAGCAATTTGACAGAGTTATACTGTTGGATTACTTAAACACATGCAAGAGAGAGAGAGAAAGAGAGAGAGAGAGAGAGAGAGAGAGAGAGAGAGAGAGAGAGAGAGAGAGAGAGAGAGAGAGAGAGAGAGAGAGAGTTGCATGTAATTTAGTGGCAGACACTGCTGTATAGATGTGGACACCTAAGTGGGGTACACAACAAGGGGTGGCTGGGGTACACAACTTGGGGTGGCTGTGGTACACATCAGGGGGTAGGGGTGCCTGGGGTACACATCAAGGGGTGGCTGGGGTACACATCAAGGGGTGGCCGGGGTACACATCAAGGGGTATGGGTGGCTGGGGTACAAAACAAGGGGTAGGGGTAGCTGGGGTACACATCAAGGGGTAGGGGTGGCTGGGGTACACATCAAGGGGTATGGGTGGCTGGGGTACACATCAGGGGGTAGGGGTGGCTGGGGTACACATCAGGGGGTAGGGGTGGCTGGGGTACACAACAAGGGGTAGGGGTGGCTGGGGTACACATTGAGGGGTAGGGGTGGCTGGGGTACACAACAAGGGGTAGGGGTGGCTGGGGTACACATTGAGGGGTAGGGGTGGCTGGGGTACACATCAGGGGGTAGGGGTGGCTGGGGTACACAACAAGGGGTAGGGGTGGCTGGGGTACACATTGAGGGGTAGGGGTGGCTGGGGTACACATTGAGGGGTAGGGGTGGCTGGGGTACACATCAAGGGGTAGGGGTGGCTGGGGTACAAACAAGGGGTAGGGGTGGCTGGGGTACACATTGAGGGGTAGGGGTGGCTGGGGTACACAACAGGGGGTAGGGGTGGCTGGGGTACACATTGAGGGGTAGGGGTGGCTGGGGTACACATCAAGGGGTAGGGGTGGCTGGGGTACACAACAAGGGGTAGGGGTGGCTGGGGTACACATCAGGCGGTAGGGGTGGCTGGGGTACACATCAGGCGGTAGGGGTGGCTGGGGTACACATTAATGGGCTTGTATTTTCTGTGTGGCCTTATTCAAGAAGAACCATATCCTGCAGGATTCACCTCTGAGCTCTCCTCTCACCACTTCATTGCAAGATTTTATATGATGTTTTCTGTATTTCTGTTCTAATTTCTTGCTTGTCTGAGTGTCCTATAAGTAAGGACATCTTCAGCACCAGCTTCCTGCTGTTGTCCAGAGCTGTGTCAGTTAGTGCACCAGCACCAGCTTCCTGCTGTTGTCCAGAGCTGTGTAAGTTACTGCACCAGAACCAGAGACTTGATCATCTTCATTTGCAGGTGTTCCTCTTTATTTAAATGAGACCCATCACAGCCTATGCTCTCTGTATACACACCTATTGTACAAATTAATTGAAACATTTTGCACAATAGAGAGTTTGCATTTTGTGAGCATATCTGAATGTATTTCAAATTCTTTATTTTTTTTTTTTAAATCAGAGGGAAAACAATGTCCAACTTGTGGCAAGCAAATCTTTCATGACAAGTGGAAAGTGTCATCAGAGGTCATGGAAACTCGCTGGGCACACAAGCAAGCTAGACAGCGAGAATTGGAAGAAGTTGCAGATTTCATGGAGTAGAGTTACATCTTCATACTTTTTTCAGTGTGTGGAGCAAGTAGCTTTTTACTGGCTGAACTTTGTCACATTCATAACAGATACCATTAAACAGTTGCTGTGTTTGAGATACTTTCTCACAGATCACCTCTATTTAGAGTACTGTTTTAGTTTTGCTGTGATTTAGAACAACTTCATTCTTTATCAGAGGATGTAAGTATTGATGGTGACATGATTGTGAATTCATGACAACTGTGTAGTTTGTATATAACGAAAACCATGAAAATGAGGCCATGTAAATGTCAACTAATGTCAGATATGTCTTCGAGCAAGAGAGGCTAATAGACATTAAGAGTCATGTATTGCGCATCATTGCTCCATTTGGACCCCAAAGATATGTGAAGTATGACATGTAGTTGAACAGTTAAGCACAGACTAGAGTGATTCCTCTGAGTCCGGACATTGTGGCGCTGGAGTGTTATTGTTATGTGGCAGTCCGTAATTATCAAGTGGAAGTAGCAAAGCTGTTAAAGTTAGTTGCGATCCTTTACAGGACATTGCAGAACCAACCCCAGCATTTTTAGGCTGTTGTGATTTTTCTAGGCAGATTTTACTTTCAGTAGTTTGCTATTGCTGTCAGCAAAGCAGCCAAACATAATATTGTGTGTGTGATGTATGACAGTGCCAAGAAAAGATCTCACAAAAATAATGCAACACTTGGATTAGTATGACACTTGTTGGTAGAAATTGGTGGCGCATCATGGCATAAATATCCCATTTTTTTATATTAAAAAAAGTGTACATTCACAGAACGACTTTCCACAGTTACAATGCTTGACTCTCATGCAGGAAACCTCATTAAGAGATGGAGATTTTTCTGTCGAAATCCTAACCTGAACAGTCTATGGGGATTGTACTAACTGTGCAGCCTTATATACTCAGGGTCACGACCCCCCTGTACTACCCCACCAAGTGATAAACACAGGCAGTAGTGACAGACAGTCCATTCATAGACAGTCAACTTCTGCCTAGATGATGTGTGATATCTTTGCTTGTATGGTAAAGATTTCTTGAATACTTACATATGTATTGACTCACAAGCTTCATTCATATAGTAAAGTTTAATATAAGTGGAGCAGGCAAACTGGGGAAATGAATTTGCTTATCTAACCTGCTGTGAGTGAGAACCAACCAAATTTAAATATCCCTAATTTGAAACTCATTGTAAGTTTACTGAACATTGTTTTAGTTCCATCAGTTTGAGACACCTTGAAGTGGTTGACAACAAGTAAACTTGCAGTTGCAATCATATAATGATGAGTGTTCCATTTAGATTTGTCATCCATGTCACCAAAGTTTGAGACACCTTGAAGTGGTTGACAACAAGTAAACTTGCAGTTGCAATCATATAATGATGAGTGTTCCATTTAGATGTGTCATCCATGTTCCCAAAGTTTGAGACACCTTGAAGTGGTTGACAACAAGTAAACTTGCAGTTGCAATCATATAATGATGAGTGTTGCATTTAGAGATGTCGTCCATGTTCCCAAAGTTTGAGACACCTTGAAGTGTTTGACTACAAGTAAACTTGCAGTTGCAATCATATAATGATGAGTGTTGCATTTAGATGTGTCATCCATGTTACCAAAGTTTGAGACACCTTGAAGTAGTTGACTACAAGTAAACTTGCAGTTGCAATCATATAATGATGAGTGTTGCATTTAGATGTGTCGTCCATGGTCACCAAAGTTTGAGACACCTTGAAGTGTTTGACTACAAGTAAACTTGCAGTTGCAATCATATAATGATGAGTGTTGCATTTAGATGTGTCATCCATGTTACCAAAGTTTGAGACACCTTGAAGTGTTTGACTACAAGTAAATTTGCAGTTGCAATCATATAATGACGAGTGTTGCATTTAGATGTGAAACTAAGTGCATTGCTGACTCTCAGTGTGCAGTATAAGGTTTACGAGAAGGGTTTTACTTTTGTACACTAAAGGATCCACATATTTGAAGAGCTCATAGTTGAAGACTTGCAAGGCATTTTAAAGAATGTATCAGAGCTATAGAAGGAGAGAGAAAAGCAGTTTGGGGGGGGGGGGGGATTTGTGTGGGACATTGAGTAGGGTATTTAAACAAGGTCCAAAAGGAATGTTTCTAATGTTTTTGATTTGTTTTTATATGGCATACCAAAGTAATTTTAAGTATAACAGATATGGACAGCGGTTAAACATAAATCTCCTTATATCTGCAGCTGACATTCTTTTTAAAACATCGAGTGATCTGTTGTATCCTGAAATACAAACATCAAGTGATCTGTTATCACCTCAGATATAATCTTCTTATCATCTTGTTTTGTATGTTTACATTTTAAAATCTAAGTCTGTACCTTGATATGCTTGGGAGTCTCAGTGTGGTTAAACCTTTTGCTTCATGCTCCAAGGTTGTGGGTTCGATTCCAGACTCCGTCTATCGTTTCATGAGTGCAAATGTTTCCGAGATATTTAAGGGTTGTTCTGAAGCTACAGAAGCGCTTCTGAGACTTTTGGGTGAGTAGCTTCTCTGGGGAGAAATAGCAAATCATATGAATAAAACTCAGGGCAGTGTAAATCCTCTTGCCTGGGTGTGTCCGCTGTTTTCAGTATGCAGTGAGTTGGTACAGAAAGAAAATCTCTTGTAGACATGGTGTACTGTCATTTGATTTATTTTCATTGTACAGTGAATATATAATGAGATCTTTAATTGATATGCCCGGAATTGTGGTTGGTGGGCACAGTATAAACAATTTACGTTATGCTGATGATATGGAGGTGTGTCAGCACCCGAACTGATACATGCTGCAGGAGATCACAGATTGTGGAGAGGCATGATCGCCCACGCCAGTCGGCAAGGCATCTGATGATGATGATGATGATGATGAGACATGGTGAGTAATTCTGTCAATTGTTTGGACCTTTGACGTTGCCAGTTATTGATGGTTCAGAATCAAGAAAATGTCATTGATATATCTTGTGAGTTTTTTGTGGTGATGGATGAGTGAACTGTTTTAAATCATCATCATCTGGTGCTTTGCTGACTGGTGTGGGCGATCATGCCTTTCCATAATCCACTGTTCTAAAAAGTTTAACAACAACAAAAGTATGGTCCCATTGAACTCACAGCCATGGGTGTGAAATGTTATATCTTTGCATTTACTAGGTCACAGCCACTTTTCCTTTCTAGACAATTTCCTCAATGACTCATTAGTCGTTAAAGACTGTACTGGACTCACTATGTTGGGTAAGCAGGTGCACTACGATGAAGTTTGTATGGCCCCGATATACAGAGACCCGCCAGATGTGTTGCTGAGACTGGCTACATTTGCATTTACCAAGAAATCTTCGTTCCTGTTTGATCAGACAGGATTCAAAACATCACGTTTGGAAGATTTGGCACTTGTTGGATGATATGGTGAACATTTCGACAGATGCTTTTATTTCCTAGAACATTTCTAAATACCTTTTTAGGGCTGGGTTGACTGGGGAGCCAACAAATCTGTCTCAATGTGGGTTTGAGCCTACATCTTTCAGGCTTGTAGACAAGCAGACACTGGGGAAGTTATAGACAAATGTCATGACTGCAAACCACTGCTATATTCCATCAGAGTTCTTATATTGAACTTTCAACCAGCACCAACTGCTTACCTTGAACCTCTCACTGGAGTATTTGATTTGATTGACAGCTATGTTCTGTTAATGGCTGTCAGTTTTCCTTTAGCATATTATGTAACTGTACTTCTGGATGTACTCATTAATTATTGGTCCTGCCTGAATATCAAATCTGCAATCTTGAACTCTGTCACTTGTATATTTTTACCAAAATGATCATCTCTGTTCACACCCTGAATTCTAATATTTAAAATGAACACCTTGGCAATTAAATGTTAAACTTTTTGAAAGAGAACTACAGAAGAGGATTATTTCCTGTGATTGAATTTTAACATCTGTGTATTAATATTTTTATTGCACTATTTATTTTTGTTTGCCTTTGGTGGTTACATTATATGTGGTTATTTAATTGTGTGAAATCTTGTCATGAAATTGCTAATTGAAACATAGTCAGTAATTTATAAAGCAAGAGATTCACATACCAATCTGAATTGGTTTCTGAGTGTGGAACTGTTTGAGAGTTACTTAACAACACATACATGTTTTTTGGATACACGTAAGGGGTTCTCATTCTTTCGAGGCATTCTCAGTATGTTTGTAGTGTTCTTGTCAGTTGTTTATCTAACAGTATATCTGCAGCTTCTATAGTATGAGGTATGTTTTTTTTAAAGTAAGTTCCAGTTAAACATGTAAAACAACCATCATATAAAAATAATTATTTATTGCAGCCAAAAGTGAACCACACATTTACATTATTTCTCAACATTGTCACTATTGACTTCTAGATATTTTTTGTATCGTGACACCAGATTCCACTGTCATAGAAGTCTGCCTCCAGTGTCTCGTCAATCGTTAATGCCTGCGAGAGTTCATCAGTTTCAAGCCGCTGGGATGCTGCCAGCCACTTCTGTATGTGATGAAAAGGTGGTAATCACTTGGTGCTAGATCGGAGCTGTATGGCCGGTGATCAACAATCAAACAGTGACCTGAGGTTGAGCATTATCGTGCATAAGCACAGTTCAAGAAAACAGCAACCCATGTCTTTTGTTTTGAATGGCACATAATTTTTGTTGATCCAGGTTTTCTTGTTACACTATCGTAAATAAGTGGATGTGAAACTTCAAAAAATTTGACAAAAATTGTGAAACGACAATTTTCCTGAATTTTTAGGTTCACTTCTTCTATTAAATCATCTGTCGACCACCACGATCTTCATCATGGATATTTGTTCACCCTTCTTTAAACATTCAACACCATTTCCTAACCATACTATTAGTCATAACATCTAGCCCTTCAACCTCAACCATCAACCTGTGAATTTCTTCAGCACTGTTGTTTTTTCCTTACAACAACAACAACACAGATCAAAGCCCGA